CTTTGATGCTCTATCTTGTAGTATATTGGATGAACAAATTCATGGTTCTATTAATGTATAATCCTGGCAGACTGTCGAAGATTTCTAGACTCCTTAAAATTTCTAGAAATATACTGAAAATTCTGGGAGTACAGTGGGAATCCCGGGAGTACAATGGAAATCCTGGGAGTACAATGGAAATCCTGGGAGTACAATGGGAATCCCGGGAGTACAATGGGAATCCTGGGAGTACAATGGGAATCCCGGAAGTACGATGGGAATCCAGAGAATCCCGGGAGTACGAAATCCGCCGTTTCCCCCTAGCATTATCTGGTATGCGGTTATTTGCGATTGCTTGATGCTGCATTCAGTAATCTATAGTGTGTACGGCACCTTGTAGTGGTTAATTGTGCGCCTGTTTATGGTCTCCGTATTGATACAGTGGTCGTGAATGGTCTCTATGCTGATTCATTATTTCCCATCATAGTAACCGATCGTAAAGTGCCGCAAACTGTTTGCATGCTGCAGTACCGTAAGGTGCCGTATGGCATCGTTTACTGTTGTTGTAAACGTCCACTTCGAAGCAGCAACCGTTTTCCGTTGTAATTGGTTTTGTAATGCCGTATACGATCGTGGGTAATTGACCTGGGAAAATAGCTTTAATTATTTCGTTTCATTCTAAATAAATAATTCATTGCTTTAATGTTCTTTTATAGGTAAAATTGGGCATTCATATGACTAAGAAATTGATTTCTCATATTCTACGTTAATTATAATGTTGATTTATCGAGAAGAAATCGATGGATTACGAGCTGTTGCCGTTCTCCCAGTTATTTTATATCATTCTGGCATTACCACATTATTTGCTGGAGGATATATAGGTGTTGATATATTTTTTGTGATAAGTGGTTATCTAATTACATCCGTTATCGAAAAAGAACGCGAAGATGAAACGTTTTCAATTGTTCATTTTTATGAACGACGATGTCGTCGCATTCTTCCAGCACTATTTTTCATATTATTTATCACTAGTATTTTTGCTTATTATTGGATGCTACCTGAACAATTGAACGAATTCGGACAAACTTTAATATCAATTATTAGTCTTTCATCAAATCTATTTTTTTGGTGGAAAGATGATGGCTATTTTACACAGTTAACTGAATTAAATCCGCTTGTTCATACATGGAGTTTAGCGGTAGAAGAACAATTTTATTTCGTATTTCCATTAATATGTTATTCTTCTGGCAAGAGAAAATGTTGTCTTATTATAATTCTGATATCTTTTGCCATATTCAGTTTTTTTCTTGCTCAATAGGGTGGTAATTTAGAATCGGGTTGGAAATATCGTCGTAAAATGTTTTCTCAACACTCATGGGCATCATTTTATTTACCTATGGGAAGAGTGTGGGAATTGCTACTAGGCTCGTTTGCTGCTTTCTACTTACGATTTGACAAATCCATCAGGTATTTAACTATATAAACAAGTAGCACGAAAAGATTTCGAAATTTTCAGGCTTATTTTCTTGATCTGTGAAATCGATAGAATTAAGGGTAACAGTGAAAAGAAGTGAATATATTTTGATAAGCATATGCTTTTGCACCATACCTCCGTTATAACGACTCACAGCTACTAATAAAAATCGACGGTAGTACTTACAAAATTATTGGTTTCAGCTAAACCCCTCCCCGCATTAGAAGATCCCCCCCCCCCATATTAGTAGATCCCCCTATAATAGAAGACCCACCTGGACAAAAAGTTCATCGGGCGTATTAGAAGACCCCCTTTAATTAATTAATCTTTTGCTAATTGGGAACTTTAATTTGGGAATTTCCGTCCAGAAGTGCATAGCTTTTAGGTTTTTCTGCTGAGAATCTTTAGAAAGTGAGTCCAAATGTGTCCCTCAACCAGAGTTGCCAAATCAAAAATTAAAAAATCGGAAAAATGTCGGAATTTTTATTCTCAAAATCGGAAAAAATTGGAAAGTACTTTTTTTAATGCTCACATGGTTAGTCCTTTTTTTTCTAATAGGCAATATCCTTTATCTTGCTTCTATTAATTTTTCCAAGCAATATCTTAAAAGATATTTCATAAATAATTAAAGAAAATATAAATTTACCCACACCATTTACTGATTATTAAGAAATCCGCGTAACTCATTTAAACAGGGTCACATTGTTTTTTTCAAAAATCTTATAAGCAACTCGACGGAAGAAAATAATCAACATTGAAAATTCATACACACATGCATTTCACAAAACTTGTGCAAAAGAAACCAAGATTTATTCTTTATAACGTACATTTTTGTTCATACTTCCTTATTAGATCGAATGTTCTTCAAAACACCAGGTTGAGATAATGGATATTCATAAAAAGATCCACAGGAGTAAACGGAACTCTTTCTGATTTTCAATTCGGCAACAGTCAATTGAGTACCTCACACGATTAGATTAGTTTTATTATGTTTCCATTGAAACAAAAAAACTCAAAATGGAAAATATTATTAATTATTGGTATAGTAAACGAATAGAGAAAATTAGTTCATCGCGACGGAAAACTAAACCTTTGTTGTCTGTAAAATATCCTAATTTTTTTTGAGGATAAGTTTTCAGAGCACTGAAGTATGCTTTGTTGAGTTCATGACGCTGCAGCACCGAATAATTACATTGAAATAGATCAAAATATATAGGCAATAGGGAGTCATCGTTAAATGATTCTAGAATATTCTAAAAACTTGAATTTAGAAAAAAAATCCAAAAACCGGAGAAAAATTAGAAAATTGGAAAATGATCGGAAAAATGTACTAAAATTTGAAAAAATCGGAACGTCGTAAAGTCATCGGAAAAAGTTTCAAAAATTGGAATTCTTGCTGCCAAATCGGAAGATCTGGCAATCCTGCCCTCAACCTTTAAAACCGTGAAAGTCCCTACGAGAATCCCAAAAATCGCTCTAACTTTTTGGAAAACCACATCTAATTAATAATTGCTAAAAAATCTAGGACATAATAGAAGACCCCCCTGAGAAATTTTCAACACCAAACATAATAGAAGACCCGGGGTCTTCTAATGCGGGGAGGAGTTTATTCGTATTGGAAGAGGGTGTTTTTTATCCAAAATTCGAATTCTTTATTATAAAAGAAAATTCAAATTATTCAAGAAAAAGCAACAAATTCGCTGTATACTTTCTTTACAAAGATTTTTTGCAACACCATCTATTTGACTGGTACATCACACTCATTAACATTACCTGCACATGGCTCAGAATCGATCAGATTCTATGAGTTTAAACAGAATGCAAAAATACTCACTATACTAAGATGTTTTCGAAAACAAATCCAGCCGTTTACTACCAGTATCATGTAAGCCATGCATATCGTGGTATAACGACACTTATTGTTTCTCTTTAGTTCTGGCATAAGTTACATAACTGATAGACGGTTAATCCGATGAAAAAAGTCTTAAGATTGTACTGCTATAATTTTAATTTCGTCAATAGAAAATAGAAAGTCTTTATCTGAATAGTCGATAGAACCCTTCTGTAATTACTTTCTTCTGAACGAAAATTAAACATTATCAAAGTATAATTTCACAGATTTAAAAGTATTGTAGCCCAAAGTTTTCTTCATGATCTCGATGTCTCTCATAGTTAAAAATATACGGTGTGGATATCGATGCAAGACTCCTCTTCATCGACATTCTGAAATCCGTTTCTTTTAAATTTCTTCAAAATATAGGAAAATGGTTCATTTTCTAGATAACGAAATAACATTGCAGATTTAAACAGATATTGTTTTGCTCCGACTTCGAATTATATTAATTTACGACAAAAGAAAAACTTCAGAAAGATCATAATATTTAGTGTGAAATACACAATTATTAATTTGAATCAGGTCAATCACAGCAAATAAACGTTCTACCTGAGAATCTTTGAGTTCATCATAAAGAATCCATGCTCATTCTACGATTAAATCAATCTAATGCAACAATCTATAGCGAGATAGACGATCATATCCTTTTGTGAAATATAACTTAACAGGAGCATTGAAATATGCATGATAGAAATGTCAACCCAATACCTTCGTACAGATCCTAACGACCACATCCAAGGTGCTACTGATCTAAGGGGGAAACAGCAGACTCCATGACTGCATGACTCCACTTGACTCCATTAGACTCTGCGTGACTCCATGCAAACGGAGTCTGTCATTTCCCTATTGACGATCTTATTAAGTACCCTGAAGTTGCATTCCAAAAACAGAACAAAATCGCAGTACTTTGGGGATACAGCTCCCGGGTACTCAGTAATATTGTTCTGTTTTGGGAATTCAACTTCCGGGTATTGGACAATATTGTTCTGTATTGGGAATTGTTTTGGACAATTTCTGTCAAAAGAACTTTTCAAACAGGTCAGTTTAAGGAAGAAATGGCAAACTTGAAGACTTCAGAACTCCAAGGGGCTTCATAGGAGTGGAGTCTGCCGTTTTCCTCTTGACTGAGTACGAAAAAGGGAAAGATGTTGTATGTTTCTCTCTAAATTGAGATTAATATCTATTTCATCTCATAGTAGACATGATTAACACGATCAAAGCATAGCACTATCAAATTTCTATAATGAATTTCTCAAGATAGACAAGAATTTTTGCAACACTCCATGTGACTCCACTTGACTCCTCAAGACTCCAAGGGACTGAAGTCTGCTGTTTTCCCCTTGTACTGATCTCCTTGTGAGACTTCAATAAACGTCTTCGCAACACTTTTCTTCTGGCATGTTCGATAGTATATACTTTCGTATTACTGCTCGTTCCATGTAGACCATGAAAACTTGAAGTGTAGCGTAAAACTAGTATAAAGTACGATGGAATGGAAGATAGTTGCCATTGCTTTTCGTCGTTTTCTAACTATCACATATAATATTTCGTATTAGCCATCGTTGACTAACATTAGACAAAAAGTGAATTTTGCAAAGTGAAGCATATCTTACTAACCTCACTCTTTAGCAATGTTAGTAGTTACATTGTATTTCACATTGTAATGAATCATAGATTTTTGTAACAACTATTGAACTATACGTAGTAAACCCCCCACAGAATAGAAGCCCACTGGGCTTCTAATTTGTTTTGAAAATCATAAATTTTGACATGGGCTTGTATTGCGATCAACTTTTTTTTACATTGCCGCTACAATTTAATTATCTTGCAATCCCAGAACACCTTAAAAATTGGTGAATATGAATTTTCAGACTATCTGAGTACTTTTGGAGTAGCTATCATAGTTTCCTTGGAACCAAGGACTGACTTTTAGTTCTTTCCTGGATCCGTACTATTAAATTCACAATGTAGTGTGCTCTTTACACTAAGTTTCTCATTCAAGTGTTCATCTACTCTCAACATTTCATGAATCTTGCTATGGATACAAAAACTCGAGGTAAAAATAATATCTTGATTTGAGAAATTATCGAGCTTTGAAACAATTTTGAAAAGATTTTTAGTAGACAAGTACCGATATAGCTCTGTTGGAAGACTTCATTATGGCAGTTTATGCACAATTCAAATACGAAACGAGATAGATTTAAATTATCTCAATAAAAATTATGAAGTAGACTTTTGACAACACAATAAGAGTCTGTCATTCAAACCAAGCAGTCTCACGATAACATCGCACAATAGAGTATCTCTGATATTGTATGATCTTATATGATCAGATAAAAATCGTAAAAAATCTGTTTTCACAGAAATCTTACGCTAAATCGTATCATAAGATTCTTGAAAAACCTTCTAGTCTCATAAGATATCACTATAAGATTATAGGAAATCTTATGTGGCGATAAGATTCTTCAAGAATGTTATAGTACGATTTGGTGGAAGATTTCTGAGACCGCGATTTTTTGTACGATTTCATCTGAACTTAAAAGGCTTTATGTTTTTGTTTATTGATTTGAACATTTTTTGAGAGATAGGTAGTCTAGATCTTATAAGAGTTATAACAATTCATATCTTACGATCCCAAGTCGGTATATGTATTTAAGTCTGTTAAGCTCTCGCGTAACCGATATCGTTCGTAGCTCAGCTTTGTAAGAAGTCTCATTTTTTCAGTCAAAGATTTGCTCATATTACTGTTAAGTTAATAAAAATCTCCATCATTTCGTTTCTGAGCTGTAGAATCATTCTATAATAGGAAGAAACCTAATAGAACTGCAATATTTCACGCATAATTTCTATTCAGTAGTTCTTAGACAGCTATACTTTATTAATATGTGCGTGCATATTTTCAACAGTTAAACATGTTTAATTGTCTGTTGATTGAAAATATATCCAACAC